AAGAGGAAAAGAAACTACATCGACTGACCGGCGTCGATTTTTGAATTAGGTCTTAGTTTTTTGTCGAACGGAGGATTTTTAGAAAATCCGGAAGGCTTTTTCGGGTTTTGGAGGTTGCTGGTTGCCTGGAAAATCAATACAGCCTTAATTAAAAAATCGGCGCCGGTCAGTCGATGTAGTTAGGTGTCTAGTTTAAAATAAAACAAACCCGAACTCTCCAGCTTGAAGTATATTAAAAAATCTTGGGACGCCGTTCAGGGTCCTTTTTGGACCTTGATCTCTGGAAAACTCCTAAACCGTAAGACTTGTAGACAAAAAAATTTTTTCATTCCCTTAACTCATTGTGCCGAACATTTATAGAAAGTTTCGTCAAGATCGGATGCATGGTGTCGGAGATAATTTCTGAGGAGGGGGAGGCCCTTAAGTTTTACTTAAGTCATTTTTTCACTTAAGTTAGACTTAAGTTTTTTGATGAAACTGGTCCCAGGATAACTCACATTACATATATATGGACTGCGGATCCCAGTAGAAACGAGCAAATCACACGAAGGAACAATTTCCAAATATTCGCCCTATAGCAAAAATCTGCAGCATGATGCCCTTTGCATTCTGAGATTTTCTGGAAAAGCTCTTTTATTGGTACGAAACTACAAATTGAATTGTTACTCAGAAACAACAAAAACGAAAACGACATTCGTGCTCAGGAACAATGAAAGAGATTTTTTCCATTCTATTCTGCAGAAGCATTCCTGCGAAACAATTGTTACAGAAAAAGCAAGAGAATAATTGAAGTAAATCGACCTCAGCGGGAAAACAAGAAGAAATCCCCAGCTCTGCACGACCGTTCTTTGCAAAGTTATAGAATTTACAAGAAAAGCTCTCAACGTTCATTTTCAACATAACGCTACGAATCTTCATTTTCAGCATGAAGAAACTAATTTAGGGCTTTTCCTGTGAATTCTATAACTTTGCGAAGGAAGGTCGTGCAGAGCTGAGGAATGTCTCGCTTTAATCAGAAATCTACGGGCTACAATCATGCCTTACTGAGAAAAGCTTTGGCTATTTTTAGAAATTCTGAAAATCGCATTTTTCAAAAATCGGATGCCTGGAGGTCTAGAGGCACAAGCCACTATGATATTCGGATTCAGGACACTCGAATAGCAATTGTCAACTAGGTTTCGTTAAAAAAGTGAGGAAGCACTTAAGATAGTTTCCTCGTCAGTCCTATCCTAGACTGATCTAACGCAAAAAGTAAATTGAAGCTTGAACTAGCAGAATTTTTTGTTCGATAATCACCCAAGCTATTCGTAGATTGACCTGAATCTGTATGTGGACGCTGACATACAGCCTGTAAGTAACCAACGGCCAGACATGTACTAGATCAAATTACTTCACATTAGTTTCGATAGGAAGAATCAATCTTCATGTGCATTCGAAGCGATATTCAAACTTGAATTCTTTTTATATAACACCTATGAAACAGTGGAATAATTAACACGAAGATACACAAAATCGTTACTATTATTAAAAAGTTGTTTCTTTCTTTTTCATTCCTTCCTTAAATGCTGGATCCGGATGGTATGACTTTGCCACTGTAAGCAGACGGTTTTTCAACTGCTTAAAAACTGCCAGTAAATCGCGTTCTCATGTACCGAATTTTCATGAGAAGCTTGACCGATAAATGACGGATTACTGGCCGTAAATAGGCAGTTTTCAGCAGCGGCGCCCCGATAAGGAGAGGGAGGGCAGGGATCCCCTCCTACTTTTTGAAAACATTTATTCCGAAATCAGGATTTTCTTACTCCGAAAATTGACTTACGAGAATATCCTACGCAGTAAAGCGTTGACTTGTATTTTTAGAGTAAGACAATTAATCTCATTTTCAGAGTATAAAGGGCTTACTCTCAGTTTCGTAGTTAGAAATTTATTCCCATTTTCAGAGTAAGACGTTTTACTCTCAATTATGGAGTGAGACATGTATTCCCATTTTGAAAGCAAAGGGCTTACTCTCAGTTTCGTAGTTAGGAATTTATTCTCTTTTCAAAAGTAAGATATTTACTTATATTTTCGGAGTAAGAGATAGAGTTTCATTTTTAGAGTAAAGCATTTGTTTTTTCTCTTTCCGTGTTTGACAGAAGATAAAATTTCTGGCATGTACATAAATAAGATAAGTAGAATAGTGGCGGCGCCAGGGCAGGGCTAGGGTGGGCTGAGCCCAACCACCCAAAAATTTGAAAACAGAGTACTCACTAGCAATAGTCACGTAAAAATTCTGAACGGATTTTTGAAAAATTATGGGCTGAGCCCAGGTACCCGAAAAATCCTGGCGCCGCCTCTGAAGTAGAATAAACTGTATCATGGCTTCAGTAAATGTATTATTATATTATATCGCCAACAATGTCGAAACAAAAAAAAGGAAAACGAAAAAGCGTTGGATCTCGTTTTGTATTCATTTTTTTTTAATTTAATTGTATCGTAATTCTATTTGAAAGATTTAAACCTAAGCTACAATATGTCGGATAATCAAACTGGACATTGTCCTTTATGTTTTACTCAAGTTTTAGTTAGAAATTTTAAACGTCATTGTAATGACAAACACAGTAGTATTGATAGTGAAGAAAAATATCAAGAAATATAAAAGAGAGATAAAGAGAGATAAATACATCTCGACAAATATTAGATCGGATGATGTCGAAAGATTTGAGGAAAGTAATTTGATACTTTTTAATAGAATTCATTGCAACATTTTTGTTCAGTTTTATTTCAATAGACTGGCAAATGTTTAGAAACCACAGTGAACGAGTATTTTTTATTGATCATATAAATCGTCGTACGACATGAACCCTAGAGATCAAATCTTATATAGGATTACTATAGGAATCTTATAGAATATCTGCAAGAATCTTATAAGAATTTTATAGAAATCTTACAAAAACTTATATGTTCCAGCCGATAGAAATGCATACTGTGGTTATAAGATGCTTATGTAAGAAATTTATAAGATTTCTGTAAGATTCTTATAAGATTCGTATAATCAAAAATCAAAAAAAAACTTTATTTATTGCCCGGATGATGATGGCAAAGCTTTGAACTTTAAAATTTTTGAACATTTTTTATAAGGCACTATAAGATTATAAGAATCTTACAAAAAAAATTATAAACTGAAATCTTACCAAAATCTTATAAGATTCTTATATTGCGAAATTATAAGAATCTTACAATTACAGTATGCATTCTATTGACTGTAGCATATAAGATTTTTGTAAGATTTCTATAAGATTCTTATCCGATTTCCGTACTTTCGGTCGACTAGAAGATAAGTTTTATTATACTACGTAGTGTTATTCAAATTACAGCTTGGCCAAATGTTACAGAATCTCATTTTTTCGTCTTCGGTGCCCCTTATCTCGACAAGGAAGCAATGTTTACCAATGAAATTTATACCAGTAATGGATACTTGCTGTGGCTGCATACTTTGCTGGATGTACTTGCTGTGGCTGCAGTTGGTCTGTCTGATGTATTAAATTTAAATACCGTAAAAGATCGACCTATTAACCACGGGGAAGTATTTTGGTATTTTACACCTGATTTCTCCTTCGGGTTTTCTCCAACATCAAAAATCAATCAGAACGTTGCCGACAATGAAAATGATGATGGTGATAAATGCTTATGTTGGTGCATTGATAACAAATATGCTGGTGGATGGCGTGCAGGAAATACAACAAACTTGCACACGAATGAACAATGGCGTCAAGTTATTTTTTGTGAACGCTAATCTTCCAAAAACTGAGAAGATTTTGTTGTTGTCGTTGATAATTTTCATTGATTACAGAAGAAATAAGTTACCTTAGGAATTGCACTCATTTTTAATCCCTAGCTCGACTTAGGTGTTGTGAACTGAATTGTGATAATACATATGTAAAGAAATTATCGCTTGACTATGGGAAAAATATTTTAAAGAGGAAACAAGTAGAAAACTCATCCGACTAACCTTTCGGTAAAAACCCATTTTGCCGAAAGACGATTATTTGCCATGGTGAATTGTCTTTTGGCGAAACGTCAGAGATCCCATAATAACAATAACTCAGGCCAAATACAAACAAAGTAAGAAAAATAAAGATATAACACGAGATATAAATATCAAAAAAGAATAACTGTAAATAAGCTCTTCAAAAAAGGGAAGAGTAGACGATGGGCTTCTCGCTTCGAGTGTAGATCAAATATCCCATATAGAGAACTAAAATACTGAAGAACTCGTTTTCAGTTCCCTCAGGAGCGAAGATTTTATTATAAAGATCAATTATACGCGTGATTTCAAGTAAGCCGTACCTATTTTCTCAGAAAGTTCAACCACTTACTACAAGAAAGATCAGACATAATCTGTCTCCGCGTCTTGCATATTCAAATATTCTTTATCCGTCCTGATTACATCATGTTTTACTCAGAATTTTCTTCGAGAACATCATGCAATCAAGTCTCGCCATAAGAATTCTCCAATGACAAGAAAAAATCCTACGAAAACTTGTTTTCTACTTCTTTGTCAAGCTCTTGGCCTTAAGAAAAGTAGAAACCTTATTTTTTTCATCTCCTGAAAGCTCGTTTCTTGCCACAACTTTTACGGGCAAGAAAACTCATCCTGGATGAATTTTTCTTATGACAGTTAAGATTATGATTTCACCAAGTTTTATCTGGTTTTCTCTTCGGGAACATGACGCAATACATCTCAAAATTAGTTAGAATTTGAGCTTAAAATAAGCACACGCAATTCTATTCTATTATTTCATTAATAATAGATCGAGATGTATACTCTTACTAGGAACAATGTGGTCATTATAATTATAAGCTGTAGCGACTTTATTTAGACTCGGTATCAATAAGACTTTTTAAACTACATATATCTTGATATCTTTTATGGGTGTCATAGGCCAGAAAAAAACATCAGTTTTTGTCTCCTTTATTACAGCAATGACACCAAAATACTATTGCAGAAAATCAACTGGCTTTATTGCTGCTGTTCTCCTAGCACTTTTCATCACCCATGTATCCTTATCTCTACTAGCATGTTGTCCTCCTGCACCAATACTAATATCAACACTTGCATGCAATTCATAACCATACTGTGATATCAAATCTAATAATTTTACCAGTAATAAACGTGAAAAGACAGCTTCATCTCCGTTAGCAAACCATGGATTCCCCCTTAGTTTAAATTGATAACATATGCCGTCCAATTTCCAATGTTCATCTTGTATACCTGATGGCCATCCAGCTACGATTGTTTGTTGGAGGGCATCGATCGGTATCGGGCAGTTGATAAATCTTAATTTATCACTTTCATTAAAACTAACTGTAAAAAATTGGTGTTTTTCAGCAATTTCTGAAGGATCGTAAACGAATAACAATGTGTCTTTATCGTATACTTTACCCTGTATATCCGTAGATGTCAATAGACGCCAACCAATGTGTGATAGATGTTGAATGAGACTACACAGAAGGAGACGTGACGGTATGGCCTCATTGCCTTGGCCATGCCATGGATTTCCGTTCAGTTTAAATCCATACGATTCAGAGTAGACTTGTTCACGTTGAATTCCTCGTGACCACGATTGTTGGATGGCATTACGTACAGTTTGTTGAACGACGGGATAGTAATCAGGTGGAAAACCGATTAGACGTAATTTATCGGATTCGTTGAGTGAGACGGCTGCATGTAGTTTAGACATTTTCCTTTTTTTTATCTGATATAAAAGTAGTGAGGTGTGTGAGTCTAAAAGAATCTGAAGGTAAAAGAATTCCGTAAAAATGGCAACTGAATAAAATAACGGTAAATTTTCCGTTGAAACACAACTCTGGCTTTGCAGCCTCATCACAGGGTTATTTGCAATTGTATGAGAAATCATATCTACGCGTGTTAACAGAACGCCGTGGCACCGCCGCATATAAAATTTAAAAATATCACGCCACCATCGCCAAACACTTTGTGAATCATACATCGTCACCGCCGTTGAAGACGGAAGTAAAAATATGACTCAGCCATCAATGTCGCCCATCGCTTAGTAGAATAATATCTTTGCTTATGCCTTTCCTCTAAGGATAAAGTCCAAATCCTCAACTCGCTTAGTTGAGTTACAGCTTCTCGATAGTAAGTTCAGTTTATAGCCAAAGATTCTGATGAGAACTATATTGATTCTACGCTTACACTGAGAATTATGCTTAGAAACCTTATAAAAACAGAAAAATACTACTGTTACTTTCTAACAAGAGAGAAGAAACAGAGGAATGTTTATGTTTTTCTTGACGCATGCAGATATCTGTACTATGTCTCTACTTTAAGGACACATACAGAAAGGAAAGAGTGATCTGCATGCGACAACAAGCACATTAAAAAAGAAAACTCTAATCTGTATAGTTGTCTTTTTTTTTCTTTCCTTTCTTTCATCATCAATAGAGCTGCGACAAATGGCGATTTTCTTTTCTTTTCTTTTTTCTTTTCTATTTTCTTTTCTTATTCACGTTATAGCTATATTAGAGCTGCGACAAATAGCGATTTTCTTTTCTTTTCTGTTTTCTTTTCTTATTTACGTTATATATAGTGTGTGCTCACGTTGGAATGTACGGTACACATATATAACATACACTAAGACTGCTGTCTGTGGTAGAGTGATGTCACGTTTCTTTCTTTTTCTTAGTGTGTACGAACGTTATATAACGTTCGTACACACTAAGAAAAAGAAAGAAACGTGACATCAATCTACACAGACAACAGTCTTAGGTTGATATGTAAGGATCATTATTTTCAACTAAGGAAAACAACAATTCTGTACTTAAAGAAGGAGAGGGGATATTAAGGGATTAATCAGTTAACCTTTCTTTTTTCAATGAAAAAACACGTCATAATGCTCTTATATTTTCGAAATAGGAATCGTGAGTAAGAAAATCAAACTGGCGGACTGAATGACATGTCGTCAAAATTCTTTTACTGCCTGCTTCTTTCGTTTAGAAGAAGAACGTTAACTTTTTTCTACACGAAAGATAAAAACAAATAATGTTGCATAATATTGTAAAAACCATCATTGATGTATATGTGAAATAATAACGAATGATGTATTGATGTAGGGCAGCACTCCTCAGAGTATGTGACTGAGACATTAATCAGAGGAAATTATTAGGTATGCCATAAATTAGAGATTCAGTGAACCCAAAAACTTCTGTGGCCGTTACAGTACTCACCCACTTCTACTCGTTTAACTAAAAACTGCCACCAAGTTTCTTTCAAACTCACACAAAATAAAGTCGATTTCCCACCCTACTGAACGTACTCGTCTGATGAGTACAACTTTACTCATAATTCGTCCATGAGTACTCATATTAGTACTACTATTTCTTAACATTGCTTTAGTTCTCTTCCTTTATTATTATTCAATCTTTAATACAGTGACGTTTCGCTCTAGATTAGAGCTTCTTCAGACATAAAAAGTTGAGATTGAACTCAAATTTTATATATATATACCCAGAAAAACGACGAAATTACACTGTTCTGGCATCCCCAAAAACGCATCAGTTGAGAACTTATGGCCAAAGAAAAAACCCTCAAACCCTCCCGGCTTTATCTCTCACCTTGCTCTCTGTGCACTTATTCTGAATAAGTTATCATTCAACTTATTCAAGTTAAAATAAGAAAAAGAATATCTGTGCTTCATAAGCATATCGACTGTTGTGATGTTTAGTCTTTTTCTTATTAGTGAACGCACACGTGATTTGCACCATTTCTGCTCTTTTTTCTTTTAAGCAATTCTGATTCTGAATGTCTTTTCTTTTAGCTTTTTCTGATTTTCATGTATTAGATCTGATATTCCTGGTTGCGAAGTTTAAAAAGGTCGTATTTCTACAACAAAAGGTCGTGGGCAGCCGGGAGTAGTCTTATTTTATAGAGGAGACTTCACTCTATTATGCGCTATGTCAAACTCAAAAATGAAAATTTTTTCTAAAAGATTAACTGAGCTTGAAATGAATTGCATTATGTTCCCGAAGAGAAAGCCGGGTAAAACATGATGAAATTAGCGTCCTAACGGTCTCAAGAAACGCTATTTAGAAGGAAATTTTCTTGCTTCCAAAACTTGTTCGTTTTCATGGTATTCAACTTAATAGTTTCTGTTGTATTTAATCTTAATTTATAGGTCTGAAATTGTTTTCTAAACCAAAAAAGTGAAGTTTTGAAAAAAGACTTTTCTTGTATACGGCGTGGCCAGCTAACGGTCCACCTTCGGATGCGAAGGTTCGAATTGTTGTTTTAACTTGAGCAATGCTTAAAAATACATCATTAGACGCAGTTTTTCACGCTGATTACGAATCCGCACTTGAAAACAAATTAAAGTTAAATTTTCATAGCGAAAATTTAAATTTAAAAAGTTTTAAATTTTAAATTCAATTTCCTGACCTAGATATTTTTTCCAAAAATTATGGAAACTATACCATCGGAC